TGTCTCCTCCTTTGTGAAAGAAGCCAGTGCATTTGCATTAAATCTGTTGTGACGTCAATACGTAGCCTCTAAAATCTCCAGTTATGTTCATGAAAGAAGGCGAACAGAAAAGGCAAATAACATCATCATAATATTATGAAAATAGTTCTGACCTTGTAGATCCCCTATAAGGGTCTCAAGGACCCTCAAGAGACATTGGAATGCTCTTTGAGAACTGATGTTATAAAGTAAACCAAGGTGACAGAGGTGGCAGTAGTGATTTTATATGGGGAGTGTGCCGGTACATCATGCTCGTCCCTTCTTGGAGTGACAGTTGGCTTTCCCTAGCATTCTAGAACAGCCTTTCCTCATGTGTGCCATATGCAAGTGTGTGCATGTGTAACAGCATCTGCTGATCTGTGCTGGGATTCTCTGTTACAAGCTCGAGTGGGGACAGGAAATGGAGTGATGGTGGGGAAACAAGCCCCATTCTTTTTTCCCAAAGAAGCTCGGAGTGAGACTTCGAAACTGCATTTGCAAGGGCCTTTGTCCTGAAATTCTTTCTTGATCTTTTTCTTAAATCCTGGCTTGGAGAGTGAAGCCTCTGGAAGCTTCCTCTCTTACTCAGATGACCCTGCTTCTGACCCTTGGAGGGTCACTGGGGTCTGAGATGACGGAGAAGCAATTATTAGAAGAGTAGTTAAGAAAGGAAGGGAGTTTTTCCTCCTGAGAGTCCTGAAGAAAAACACCAACACTCTGCGCCTTCCCTGTTAGAATCACTCTTCCTGTTCTGCCTTGCACAGCGCCCTTGATACCAGAAAATATTTTCAGTGCAAGATGAACCTGGAAGCTACTGCTGATACTTTCTAGGTATCAAATGACCACTGTGAAGAAAAGGTAAATATTGACACGAGCTCATTGATTTCTTCATTTTAGAGAAGTGACTCAGAGGTTTGAAGCTTATAAATAATCCATTTATTGTATAAATAAGGACAGATTGAGAGTTTTTATTATCACTTCCCTCTTATGTACTTACATTCTGACTTACACTAGAAGATCACAGTAAGCGTTAAATCTTTGGAATCAGGAGAAACCTAGGTTTGTATCCTTGATCTGCCACTTCATGGCAATGAGAATTTAGAGAAACGTCAACTGTTCTAAACCCCACGTTCCTCATCTATGAAGTCGGGGTAAGCTAGTTTGAGTTCCTCCCGAAGCAGAGCCTGCGCCAAGGACCTGGATGCAGGTAGCTTATTTATTAAAGATCATGTTGAGGGTGATCCCGGAAAGAAGAAATGTAGGAAGAGAGAAAATGAGGCAGATTTAAGTAGGAAAAAGCAATATGGCATATTATTGAGCTGTTTACTGTTGTGACTGATTGAGGATGGAGCATCCTTTTAGGGACGCACAGAGAAACCACGTAAAATGCATCCAAAGATGTCTCTTTGAAAGGGCGGAGGCCTGAGACATTTCTCCAGACTCATCCCTCATTGGTTGGGAATTGCCCCAGGGCACCCATTTTCACTGGGAAAAATGAGCTTGCAGAGACATCTCCACGGCAGCTGTGGCTGAAATCAGCAGTGGATCGTGGATGTGTCATGAGGCACAAAGCTATCTGCTACAGGAGATAAATTATATCCATGTCCTACAGTTATTGTGAAAATTAGATGAAGGGCCGTCTAAAAAATGTCTAGCATTGTGCTTTGCTCAAATGTAAGTACTTAGTAAGTGTTCACTTTATTGTTGCAGCTGCTGTTATGATCATTATGATTATTATCGTGATATGTTCGTGAGTCAGAGAAATGGGTGAATATATGACTTAGAGGACTCCAAGAATGACATATACTCTGCAGCCTACCTCTTCTATGCTACAGCCTGCATGATTTCCCATGACCAATGGCCAATTGTTGTCATTGTTAGGGGTCATTATACTACTTTTACTTTCTTACACTTTTTGATATTTTCTCAAAATTTGGGCTCAAAAAGAAAGTATATTGTGTCAGTTGTTTGTGATGGAAAATGGTTGCTAATTATGATGCTAGAGCGGCACCGTCCAACAGAAACTTGCACGGTCGTGGCACTGCTCTGGATCTGCGTTGTCCAAAACAATAGTCACCAGCTGCATGTGGCTACTGGGCACTTAAAACATGGCTAGTTCAGCTAAGGAACTGAATTTTTAATTTTATTGAAAGTTCTAGTTAATTTATACCTGAATGTGAATAGCCAAATGCAGACACAGGGAAGGAGAATTAGAGATAGTGTTCCCGGAGACAGTGGAAAGGTCCCTTCCCCCAGGGCTAAATTAAGGTGGTGCAGCCAGCAACGTACTTCCTCCAGCCCCTGGGCCTGAAGCCCATGAAATCTGACTTCCAGGTTGACGCATGGTGGTATCACCAAGGCCAAAGGACTGCTGGCTGAAGATAATGTCCCCATGATGTTGTGAAGACATGGAGCCAGCACAGGTTGGAGGAGGAAAGGTGACAACCTCCACTCAGCTTTGGCCCATTGTTTTGTGTGCAGAGCCAACTGCTGACCCCTTTGCAGGGGAGAGCTTCATTCTTAGCTGCCCTAAAATGAGAGAAAGATTAAAGAGAAGCCCACCCACCCAGTGCTTTCTACTTCCTAAAGGTTACATTACCCTAGAGACAAGATTCTTGGCTGGGTGCAGTGGCTTATGCCTATAATCCCAGCACTTTGGGAGGCTGAGGTGGGCAGATCACCTGAGATCAGGAGTTCGAGACCAGCCTGGCCAACACAGCAAAACCTCATCTCTACTAAAAGTGCTCAAATTAGCCAGGCATGGTGGTGGGTGCCTGTAATTCCAGCTATTCAGGAGGCTGAGGCAGGAGAATCACTTGAACCCAGGAGGCAGAGGTTGCAGTGAGCTTGAAGTGGGACCTATTTTGGAGCATAGGTTTCTGTCACTTGCAACCAAAGAAGTCCTGATTAATGAATACTCAGGGTCAACTGGGGTGGCTGAAAGTGGGAGAGGATGAGCGTCAGAATGGCCATACTGGTTGGTGTGGCGGGAATTCAGACATGAGGCACTGAGGGTCTCAACCAGGGTGTTCGGGTGCTAGAGAGAAAGGAGGGCAGTTAAGAGGTGAGCAGGAGCTATCTGGCGGTTTCCTCTCTTCGAAGGTTGCTGTCAAGTAGAGTTTAATGGTTCTTTACCACCTCTGCCTTTTTAATGCCCCTTGACCTCTTTCGTTTTTTAGTTTTTATTTTTGAGATGGAATCTTGCTCTGTCACCAGGGCTGGACTGCAGTGGCATGATCTTGGTTCACTGCAACCTCTGCCTACCATATTCAAGCAAATCTCATGCCTCAGCCTCCCAAGTAGCTGGGATTACAGGTGCCCACCACCACACTTGGCTAATTTTTGTATTTTTAGTAGAGATGGGGTTTCACCATGTTGGCCAGGGTGGTCTTCAATTTCTGACCTCAAGTTATCCACCTGCCTCAGCCTCCCAAAGTGCTGGGATTACAGGTGTGAGCATGGTGCCCAGCCTCCTTCATTTGTTTTGACCATCTTGTGAGAGAAATGAGTCAGGTATTCTTGTCCCCACTGTATAGCAGGAGAGGTTAAAGGACTTGCCTGAGGTCGCATGGGAGCGCTGGGGTGTAGTTCTGGTTCTCTATAGCATGCTAATGCATGAGCACAGTGTGGACTGAGCTCCCCTGGCACCGTCTTTCTGTTGCTTCATGGTGGAGATGCAACACCCCCCTCCTGGCTTTTCTTATGTCTTCCAGGGAGAAACAGCAGTAGTTCTCGCAAGGAAAAGCCCAGGAGCCCACGGCCTTCTTCATTAAAATAAATTCTGCCTGAGTCTCCTGGTTCTAAATAGAAGAAAATGTAGATTTGGGGCAGAACCGAAGGGAAAGGGATTTCCCTTGGCAAATTATTTGCAATTTGTGGATTGGAGCTGACCCAGCTCCAATTCCCTCTGTCATTGTAAGTGCTGTCTACAATGTGACCAGCTTATTAAAGAATGAGAACTGGAGGCAGTCCTCCCACAGGGGCACAACAAAACAGGAGCAGAGTCAAAGCCCAGCAGCATCTTCCTCAGTGTGGCATGTCTAGTTTTGCTGGCTAGATTCTCACCCTTCAGTTACATGTTCATGCCTATGCCACCACTTCTGGGGGCTGTGGGAAGAATAGCGAGAATATTAATGAGTTGTCTGTGCCTTTCCTTTGGCAGTATGAAAAGCTAGCTGTCATAAATACTGTAGGGTCCTCAGTCTATAGCATGCAACAGAATGCATATTCTTGAGTCACTGTCAGAGATTCTGAGTTCATGGGGAGCTCAGGATCTGCCTTTTAAAGAGGCATTCCAGGTATTAATAATTCTGAAGCAAGTGGTCCATGGACCACAGTTTGAGAAACATTGTTGGCAGTGGTGCGCTCGTGTGCAAACTCCAAGTGGTCCCCTTCATCCGTGGTTTACAGATGCTGCTGTTGCTGGCACAAGTCCCAGGAGATCCAGTGTCTCCTTCTTTACTAACAGGGTCTATTACTCACTGGCATAATCTGAGGGACATTCAGGAGTCTTTCTTGACTAAGAAGATCTCCAAGGACCTGCTGCCTCTGGAGCTCTAAAGACTTAGCTTCTCCTGTACTCCTTTTAAATCCTGGACAGCTACAGAGAACAGCACTTCTGTTGTTTAGTTTTTATTTTTCAAAGGGAAAAAGCCCACTGTGGCATATCTGCAGCAAGCAAAAGTGTAAATATAGCTCCTCTGTCTGCATAGTCCACCCTGACAGAGCCCAGGACTCTCCTCACGGCCCCCACCTTTCTCTGTCCCCAAGGGCTTCACCCAAGATGTACAGACTCTGTAAGAAATGCTTTTAGAGTGTCAAGTTTCTTCTTCTTCAAGACCACTCTATTAACACAATCCTAAAGAAAATCAATGGATTCCTATTTCCCTATCCAATCGTACCATTGGATCCTTTTCAAATTAGCCATGGAATCCATGGGTGAGCTGGTCCACAGGCCTTCACAATGAAATTGACTGCGTATGAAATGGATCTGAAAATTCCATTTATTAAAACACATACATTGTCCATGTGGGATGAAAATGTGCACATCACATTCAGGTTTTCCTGCTTTAACATTTCTGTATTTCTCTCTTTGAAACACACACTCCATAGATCTTATATAGGAAAGATGTGAACAACTTTTGGGCTGCAAAACATTAACGCATATGTAACAATTCACCATTGCCAGGAGCAGCTAGAAGCAAATATTTAGGAAGAAAGATAAAGTATAAAAATTCCTAAAGACAGCATGCTTTATTTTCTCAAAATTCTGTATGTGACTATGAGTGTATGGAGAAATTGTTGTTTGATTTTTAAATTTATTGTTGAATATGTCCTTGGTAGGCAATCTCCTTCAAATATTATTAGCAAAATCAGGCACAGATCAAAGTATTTATTTGCATCTTCTGATTTAAACAGTATTTGGTTTCAAATTTTTAAAAAATAACAGTTTTTAAACTGGAGTTAATATTGAGGATGATATAAGATGGTTTTGTTCTTTATAGACTTTGCATTCTAAATATGAAGTTTATTGTTACTACTTATTAGTTAATTCAATGGCAGATTTTCATTACTATCGAATATATTATGTGTAGAAACTAGGGCCTTAAATAATTAAGCTGATTTTTCCTATTGGTTACCCCTAAAGAGAAAATTATGCTGGTGAAAATGATTGTTGAATTTCTAAATAAATTAAGCTCTTTAGAGGCATAAGTAATCAAAAGACTTTTTCCCCTGAATAAGTACAAATACCAATAAGCCAAAACTCATATAAAGATTTTGGTATTATAATTCCATACTGTAAGACATAAAATTATGAAAAAGCCAAAATGTTTTCCTTAGAATGCTCCCTAGAAATTGTAATTCCCTCTTAATTACTCCAAAGATCTAGATTTACATGGAAATATAAAGAGTCCTTCTGAGAAAAAGAAATGCTGCAAATAGTGGAAATCATATGGGCCAAAGAGTGCTTTATTCATTCATGGTTGTTTTCATGTGACCATATATTCAATTCATTTTCTGGCCCATTTAAAAAATGTGATCTGTTTTAGCTGATTCCACAGTGTTACTAACCTAATTGTACAATGCTGTAGTTCAATAAATACTCTGCTAGGTTTTTTTTTTTTACCCCTAAATCCTCATGGGCATCCTGACTGTAACAAACTCCCCACAATTTGAACAGAAGAACAGAAGCATCTGGTTACAAAAGTGCATTCACACATTTCACAAATGTTTCAGTATCTTCTTCTCCCCAACCCCAGCATAAGCTTTAATTGGATGTATTTATCTTTCACCAGCATGCCCATGAAGGAGCTAAGGAAAACATTTACCTAGTCTGTTTCAAAATCTGCCCTTGGCATACCAAATCTTTTGCCCTTCCTTTTTCTTGCTTTTCTTTTCAACAGGAGAAAGAGAATAGAGAAGAAAGAGAGGAGAATAACATTAATTGGGAGATAGAGATGGTATTTTGGGATCTGAAAGCAAACAAGATGTAAGAGAGGCCCTCTTTGACTGAAAATGACAAAGAAAAAGGTGGTCGAGGCATCCAGGGCTTGCTGTTACTGATGGAGACTACAGCTACAATGAAAAATTACTCTCACTACCGTATCTTGGGGAAGGAGTGCTCTAGTTGCAAGGAAGTTGTAAATAAAGACCCAGAGACTCTAACAAACAAGATGGAGAAGAAAAACAAAGATTCCATTTAAAAGTTGGATAAGCGAAAAACCAAGACCATCTCAGTGGACAAGAGAGCCAGAACTCTTCCTGGTAAGCTGACTGTGGGGACCGCACCTGCTGCCCAGAGGGTGGTACTTGGGGTCCTTCTACCTGGAGGGCGAGCAGCCGGAGTTCTGAGAATGGTCACTTTCTCTGGGGCTGTGGGTTTATTTCTTCTGATACCTGAACAAAGGAGGCCCATGGTTTTCTTGCTAAGAACACAAAAAATGTTCTTCTAATCTAGAATGTCCATGATTCAGGGAAAGAGGGAACTTGCTCATAATCATGACAAAAGCACTTCCCAACTCATGGCAAATCCTTAACGCTCCTGCTTGGTGACAGCTGTGCTGCCCTGGATCCTGGATAAACCAAAATGCTTTGGACTCTGGAAAACGTATTGAAGAGGCATTTATACCGCTATTAACTAGGAGGTATTTTAGGCGTGGCTAAGGCTCTTAAGTAATCTCAATTTTGAAAATACTGAGATTTTTATTTCCTCCCCAGGGTTTTTCCTTCTCATTTCCTTTCCCTGCTTTAGGGTAAAACAACAAAACTTCTGAATGGATGTAACATAGGGACAGTTTCATGCAGTATTACTCAAAAATTGTCACGAATATATGAAAGCACCAGTCACAACACATGATTTACTTTTACTTGCAGAATCAAAGCTATCATGTACATATGTTAGGAATAGTGAAAAGAGAACACAGACAACCGGCATTTTTTGTCGTTGTTACTATGAGGATACACCACGGGGAACATTTCCCTAAACATTTTGTATGATCATTCTTGGAGTTCAATCTGATAGACAAGTCCAGCCTTATCTCCACACTGCTCTAATGGGGACGGGTGGAAGGAGGAGTAGAGGAGAAGGAAACAAGAAAAAGAAAGGCACAATGACTAAACATCAATGCCATTAAACCAAATTGCGGCTACACGGGACAGCTCAGCTTATCAAAGGGTATTCTAAAGACAATATTCATTCCAAAAAGGTCATACTTATCTTACCTCAGTACAGCTGTCTGTTTTAATTGTTATTTTTAAAATATGAAGCAGAAACATGAGGATTTTGGGGGGGATTAGGGGACAGCAGAAAAGAAGTGACACCAATTGTATTTTTATATATTCCCCTCCTCCAGGCAGTTCGGCAGAATCAGATCTCTTAACTCAGGATGTGGATCGGCTTGCATTCTCATAAAAGGGACCAGATCTTTAAACATGCATAGCCTGGAGTTTCCAGGATGGTTCTCATCGCTCTCTTCAAATGCCGTGGACTAGAAAGGTGCCCACTTTGCTAAAAACTCTATATCAATGTCCCAGGAGCCCGGAGGCTCTTCAAGGCTCCTCTTGAAGACTTAAAGGATGACACAGAAAAACTTCTTCTCCCTAAACGGGTTTTCTGAAGCCGGAACAGGGGTCAGGAGGGGGTCTTCCTTGGCATGTGCTTCACAGTAGGCCATCAAATCTGCAGCTGCCTTGGACACCTGGAGAGGGAGACAGAAACAACCAACACTAGAGTCTGACACAGTCAGTCAAGACCCAAGACTTTGGAGCCCAATGTCCTGGCATCAGATCCTTGCTCCATTGCTGTGTGAAAGTGACACAAGATACTCAGCCTCTAAAAGCCTCTGCTTCCTCATCTGCAAAGGTGAAAGTTGATGACACCAACCTCACAGGATTGTTGCCAGCAAGTCTGGGACTAGGGCAAGGCGAGTGAGGCACTTAGGGTGCAAAAGTGAAGGAGGCACTTGCTAGCAGGGGCATGCAGATGTCAACCTGGCACTTGCACAGCCCTGTGAGTGGCTGTCTCATTCTTCTTCTTCTTTTTTTTTTTTAGATGGAGTCTCGCTCTGTTGCCCAGGATGGAGTGCAGTGGTTCAATCTCAGCTCACTGCAACCTCTGCCTCCTGGGTTCCAGTGATTCTCTTGCCTTGGCCATCCTAGTAGCTGAGACTACAGGTGTGTGCCATGGTGCCTGGCTAATTTTCTGTACTTTTGGTAGAGATGGGGTTTCGCCATGTTGGCCACGCTGGTCTCAAATTCCTGGCCCCAAGGGATTCACCTGCCTTGGCCTCCGAAAGTGCTGGGATTATAGGCATCAGCCACCACGCCCGGCCCTCCTTCACTTTTGTGCCCCAATATCTCATTGTTCCACCCTAGTCCCAGCCCTGGTCACAAGAATTAAATGAAATAATCTGTAGAAATCATGTAGTGTCTGGCACATAGCAAATTTTCCACACAGGCTAGCCATTATCATCATTTTGTACTCATGCTGTGTCTGGTGATGCTGTCATTTCTTTTTCTTTTCTTTTTTTTTTTTTTTTTTTGTAGTTTTGCTCTTGTT